TAAAAATCCTTGACCTGGGGATATCTCAAGGAAGTCAGTTTATAATGGGGCTTCTCATTTGATGAGAATATTAATTCGAAAAAGATTAAATATACTATCATTGAGTAACTTTCATACGACTGACTCGACAGCTATCAAATTATAGACGGTCAGTGAGGGAGGTCTTAAGGTAAAGAACCTACCTTCATAAATACGAATGTGTACAAAATACAATTGTATAACAACTGCAGACAATGAAACAAAGAAATAGAAACAGCTGGTCGTGAAGGTAACAATTCATGGACAACCCAAATTATGTAAAGAAGAAAGGAAGTTCAAAAAAGGTCCTGTAGAAACTGGTTCAGGAAAGAAGATTGTTGGAATAGACGTCATTAGAAGATGAAAGGGGAAAACACAATAAGTCCTTGAAGCTGCAGGATTTTCCGGAGAGTTAAAGAAATGGACAAGACAAATTTCTTTCAAGTAGCAAAATAGTGACTCTGACGACGTTATAATGTATCAGGAAAATTGAAGGTATTTACGTCTCACAGCTTTACGTCTCACAGCTGCAATACTCGTGGTATTGGTTCAGTGGAAGAGCTTCATGGAGCAAGAACCGAATCGACCCCTCTACGAAACCCTTGGAAGGATCGATTGCAGCTTGAGAAATTGTTTTGATGCAGATTCTGTGAAACATGTTCTTCCCTACGAATCAGTAGACAGTTGTCCTGAAAATCTTGCGAAAAAATTTGAATTAGATAATTAAGGAAACACTTGCTACATGAATAGCATTTTACAAGTGTTGTTAATGACGAACGATGAACGAGAATGTTTACTACTTATTCACGAAACTAAAACACCTGTTCATGCTTATATATCTTTTTTGCCACCAACCGATTTCTTAGAGTCTATGAAGTCCACTTACTTAGGACAACAAGAGGACTGTTACGAATTCTTGGGGTAATTGTTGAATACTCTTCGTGATCAAGAAAAAAGCAAAATCAGTACTCCTTTTGCTGGAGAAATCCTCACTGATTTACTTTAGTACATGTTCAAGAGGTAGCAAAAATATATGTGACTTTCTGGAACTTCAACTAGTGTTTCCTAATATGACTGATAACCAATCCGTGCAAAGCTTATTGTTAAATCATCTGAAAATAGAACTTTTAACGGGTGATGATCAATTGTATTGCCAAATATGCGCCAAACTAACCGACTATTATAAGACAACAAGTATATCTGAGGCACCAGTCAATCTAATAATTACACCGATGATCTTCAAACATGACTCAACCTCTGGCGGAAGCACCAAACTGTTACGAAGGTTCAAAATAGATGAACACTTCAATATAGCAGACCACTATTATAATCTTCATGCAGTCATTGTTCACTGTGGTTCTGGCGTTGAATCTGGTCATTATTACGCAGTGGTCAAAGACGAAACAGACTGGTTCAAGCTTGACGATAGTCGTGTCACTGAATATTCTGGCAATATCTTGAATTTATTGGAGCATCCGGAGACACCCTACATTTCATTCTATGAAAGAGAAGACATTGGCAGATCAAGATCTTCAGATGATGTGATGCTGCAGGTTTTCCGCGCCACTGGAATTAATCAAGTTCCTCCGGAGCGCCAATTAATTTTTGTTGTTATTGTTTCATAATTTCATAATTTGTATTACTTTTAATGAAACTTCTAAATTGATAAACAAAAGTTTGTATTATACCTTTTATATTATACTTTTTCGAGGTAATGTTTCACAAAACATTACTTCAAAAAACGCTTTACAAACGGATTCACAGTAAATAAGAAAAATAAACATAGTTATCGTGTTATGGTGTTATAAAATATCAAACCAAACAACCCACACGTTTTCAAAGGTAAGTATGTAGTTACATGTAGATTAATGACTCATATCTCTAGATGTAAACTACTTACGACCTCTTGAATAATAACACACGCATAACATCAACAACTGGTGTTGCATCACAAACGGACCGTTTTTTTTGTACGTACGACATTTCGAAGGGAACAATAACACATCTTTACGATGCGATGGTTGTTGGTTGCACATGTTTGTCATTTGCTTGTCCTGAAAAGGCAATCAATCATTCTGGAATTCAAACGTTCTTCCTCATCGAACACATTAGAAAGTGTTCATTCGTCTTTTTCTATAGTAATGAAGAACTGTTGGAGGAATGCAGAGGGATCGGCCTAAGATGTTGATTATCTTGAAAATGCAATGTGTTTCAGTATATTGTTATATTGAAATTATTATGAGTAATTTATCATACAGAGTCAGAGTGAAAAATTTGAGCAGAATATGTTGTTGGAAGGGAACGACTTTAGTATTTTTTCATGGACATTTTTTAACTCTAGAAGAATTTTGTAAACTAGTCCATAAGATTGAAATGATGAAACACCTGCCTTCATATTTAAAAAGTCAATCAAAAGTATTGCTGGGCCATTGTGCGAATTCATCCCTATGATTTGAAACACGCCGTCATTAAGCCATGTCTTAAAAAGGAGATCCTGATATATTTGATATAATCATCGTCCAGTTAGTCTGCTCAGTGTATTCTCAACATTATTTGAGTTGGCTGTGTATTATAGAATATTTAAGTGACTTAGAAATGAACAACTTTTCACTATATGATCTTAATATACAGGGTGTCAATTTGAAAACTTTCCTACCTTAATATTTTCCTCCCAGTAAATAATATGACAAAACAGGTCAATATTATAGTCAATGGGGACACTTTCAAGGAACGACAATGCGACCTCTCACACATCGACCCAAACAACTGCATTTTTGAGCAACAAAAACATCAATTTGATGAGTTATTTGTCGTATAGTCCAGAGTGGCAAAAATGCTTCGACAATTGGTTCAAACGCATGCAAAAATGTATAGATCTTCATGGGAAATATTTTGAAAAACAAAGTGATTTTTGATGATTATTATTTGTTTTTATTCTTTAATCCCGAAATATAAACGACAACCCTCCTAAAGTGTTACTTGAATGAATAATTTGTGGCTTTTGAAGCCACACTTAAATGGCATGTATTTAATTAAAATGTACCTTATCACCATCAATCTAGTACTGAAAAGGTACTGCATTGAATTTTATAACCATTAACCAATTATTATCAAGAATAATAGTGATTTCAATAAAATACAAACATTTATTTTTGAAACTCTCATAGTCTTAGAGCCGTATTCAGGTTAGGTATATAACTAACATACTCACTTGTTTATAAATTGATGGATGTAGCCGTTGTTACTACGTGGTAGGAAATCATAATTAAGAAAAGAGAATCAGAATTGAAACTTTCTATGTTTTTTATCACTTTTATTTGTAACTAACGTTACTGCAGTTTCATCCTATAAGGACATTTTCAAACTTATACATTAAACTGTTTAATTATTCAACAAAAACTGCCAGTGCAGAAAAAACTAACAGTGTCGTCCATTTAAAAACATTTACTACTAATTGAATAAATTCTACAAATCTAAAAGACCTGCGACAGAGAATTGTTCGGGAATGCCGATTTCTGACTCCGGACATCTTCAATAATGTAAGGAACACTTTCGAAAGTAGACTGTATTATTGTACGGAACTAGATGGAGGTCATTTTGAACACTTTATCCGTTGATTGTGTTGCCATTGATATTACTTTTGTTGATTTCCTCAATAAAATTAGCGACAATGAATTTTCTGCTTTTTCTTAAATAAAACGTTCAGCATTTAATTTCTTATTAACGAATGAACCAATTTCGAAAAAAAATATAGAAGTAATAGAGGGACGAAAGACCTTTCAAATGATGTATCACTCGACCCCCCATGCCACTGAGAAAAAAATTGGGGGGTTACTGACCGCATAGAAATAAAAATTAACGTATTCTTTAAAATTTTCGATTATACGTGCGTTTCTGACTCACAGGGGGGCCAAGTTTTCGTTGGAACGCCCTATATATTATAGCTACCATAAGGCAATTGTTACTTTTGTAGGATTGAATAATGATATCGATAATGTACATACACAAAATTAGTAACATCATTTTCAAGCCACGTCTCACACAATGAAAGAATATTACGTGTTTGCTGGTTAGATTTTTATAAGCTTGTCAACAGTATATGTCCGACAAGAGAGGAGGAGCCTGCCTTCCGCTGACGTATGTGTGACAGAAAGGAAAGCCAGGGAAACTGGCGCCGTTACGCGTTGGATAACGAAGCGGTTTATCCTCCCATAAGAAGTTATCACTTCTAAAACGAACATCGTAAATATTTAAAGAGGAGACATATTGGGGACAGCGAAGCAAGTTCACGAAATAGAATGAAGCAAAAGTAAAATTGTGACCAAGGAACTCAACGAAAAATGTGTATTTTAATCAACTTTGTCGAAAGAGTTCTGTATATATGTTCATGTTCATTTTGAGAACGGTAAAAAAAGTAAATATATACTTTTTTTCAGTAGATTACTTAATTCGCAGGCCAAATTTGTGAATATGATAATTTTCTGACTAATTAGACTCTTCAGTGTTTTATATTACACAATAACAACTTCTCTATTTAGCTTCGTTCATTTTTCAGATTGTGGACAGTAATAAATCCAAAAAACAGTAAAAAGAAATCGATGTTTTGAGTCTGGTGTTCATTTAGCTAATACATTATTTGACACTCATTTTATAGACGCATGAATATGTGATATTTGATTATGAAGTCCTAGGTACTTACAAAAAAACAACTCAAAAAATCTCAGGGTTTGGAAAAGAAAAATTTTACAATAATTTCTTTCACAAAATTTTTCAGGAACACTGTGTATAAAGGGGTATACTTTTAACTCATGCTCTCAGTGAACCGCATTGTCTAGTTACAATACATTTTCAGAAATATGTTTCGCGCCACAAGAGACCGTCCCGTTACTCGTAACTCACCCCGTACAATAGAAATGTATGACTGTTCAACATTTTGAAATCGACCAAAAGATGCCTTTTTAAATACAAAAAATTTAACTCACCTCCTATAAGTCACATTAGAACTGAATAAACTAGTAGGCCTTTTCTTCCTCTCGTCCACGGCTGACTTTTGGACGTTGCTGGCTACATTTAAAGATGCTGAGGAAGACTTTATCTGCAATACAATTCACGTAAACAACATAAATTATATTATCGAAGTATGTATTTCGAATCGTGATAACTTGTTACTATCTCTGTATACGCTTTGTTCGTTGGCATTATTTTAACTATTATAATACAAGATAGTGAAGCTAGCCTAAAACTGGTAAATAGAATGAGAGAAACTAATGAAGACCGTGAATAAAAAATATTTAGGTCGAATCAGAGCTCGTTCTCCACTATTGAATTGGAATTGTCATTAAATCAGTAATCTTTGAGAATTCCTACATAATCAAATTTGCTATCAAGACCGGTACCTACACTAAGACCACGTATTCATATCTTTATGTTGAATTTATTGAATTGGGTATAACACATTCTTTTAACTCCTGATGAATTTGTATGTGTTAATTATAAGGTTTCAATGTAAACAGATCAGCACCGAACTGTGTTGATCAAATTCGTCATTGTCATAACGTATTATGAACAAAGTCTCCCACCGCGTATGTCTATTTGAATATGATAAACTCAAAAAATGCCGAACGGATTTTCATGGTTCTCACCAATGAACGAAGTGATTCAACAGGAAGGTTTATGTTTATGATTCTGTGCGAAATCGGCTCGGTGGTGCTACCAGTATGAAGCAGGGAGGCTACATATTGTTATTCTTTAAAAGGTATACAGGAAAGTACGCCATGGCATATGTCTATATGTTGAGGATAGTTCGCTAGGTATACCTAACATTTTAATGTTCAATATAATGTGGTGATTGGGAAGCTATTCAGACGAATACGATTTTATCCCTTATCAAATCAAATTTGTTAGTTACCTTAAGCATTTGATGCAAGTTATTATTGGCCTTCACACCATATAATTCAAAATAATATTTTAGGAGTTATCACAAACCGATGCGACATGCGTGATGAAAAAAGGTAACAACTGCGTTAGTTTTGCTTCACGTAGTGAATCAATTTGGTCACTATTATTATAAAGTTAAAAGCTGATGTGGCAATATGAAAGAAAAAGTGTAAGCATTCGTATGCTCCACTACCTGTGCGAAGCCGGGTCGGTAGCTTGTTTTATAATAAAGTGAAATACTGCCAAAATGGAATCTGTTTCGAAGGAACAATTTATATTTTTGAAATTTCCCAAAGAAGTTATAAAAAATCCAGTGACATGAAATCGTAAAGTTTTGTGCGTGAATCGTTTTTCGCAGGTATCCAAAAAGCCCACCACAAAGCTTCATAGAAGCTATGTAATAATATTTCATGATTAATACTCCTGACTGATTGATTATTTATCTATTGCCTTTATATTTTGCTGATATCGTTCTGCAAGTACTTTTGGTGTTCAACAATTATCCGTGCGATTTTCAAGAAGAATAATTACTGCAATAAAAAATTATACAATTTGGGACCACCTTCCGTAAAAGGAAACATGTGTTGTTACGCTATGTGAGGTCATAGTATACTTGGTGACTTCTGGCCAGGCCTCATATGATAATCTATTTCCGAATACTTGTGAAATTAAAGATAATTATTTGCAAGGTGATTCGGTGTTGATTTTTCAATATTCCCGCAATAAAATTCAGTTCCTTTCCTGACACTGTTTTATTCAAATTGGAACGTGAATGAATATATTGAAAGTTAATGTCACAAAAATGTTTTAAAACGTTTCTGGAAAGAGTGTTACAGAAGAAAAGGTTGGACAATGAAGGTTCATACTTTGACCACCTCGTTCACCAGACAATGCTCCAGATTTTTTTCAACTAAGTTAACGAAAATGTTTACAATCATTCAACAACTACCAAAGATGATATAAAAGGAAATCTCAACCAAATGATTAGATATAGATGTAACACAGGTCCGACACTAAAAAAATATAAATATCTCAAAAACGATATGTAATGAACATTGAATATCCCGAGTGAAATTCTATTAGAATAGAAAAATGAACTAAAGGAATCACCGAATACACAGGGCATTTCATTTGCTAACTTCCGATATAGCCTACAATGAAGGCAAAAAATAAAGACAGTTTTGCAAAATCAATGAGAGATGGTTGCAAATAGTCATCTGGTTTTTGTACAACGATAAACAATGATTGGGTAATAAAACTAATTTGTAAGGCCAAAGTTTCTGTATATGTGAGATAAGCGATTCAAAAATGAAAAGTGCTGCAAACGCAGCAATTGTGACTTAGTACTGGAAAAGTCAAGAACACTATGCGAAGTAACGTACAAAAAGTCTTAAGCTTGTCGCCCACTAGTCCGGTACAGCACAGCACGATGCGTTCCGTCAAAATACGGATAGGATTGGAACAATGAAAATGAATGGACAACCGCCCACTAGCCCGGCACGGTACAGCCAAGAGCGTCCGCCGCCGGAAAGGATTCCAGCTCTCCAATCCTGACCGGCAAATAAGGTAATGTGCTGCGATGGACTGGCCAAGTGAGCACGTCGCTGGCCAGCGCTTGCCAGCATCAACTTGTCCAAAAGTGCCTGGAAAGTTTCTTGCTTTCTGTTTTGCTATTCCATCAGTTGACAGCACAGTGTCTGACGAGGAAAAATTGAATTGCTTGTAAAAGCAGGCTCTAGAATGTCCAGAAGTTCTGAAAATTTGCCTGGAGTCATTCGGCAATACTGGAAAAATGCCTCCTCGTCTTCTTTCAGATCGTTGAAAAAATGATGAAACTCTCCCAGATTTGCCCTCCTATGATTAACGGGATGGACGCACAACATTCTTTTTTGGGACTAATTTCTTCTACATTCAATAATAGACATGTTTCAATCACCGCTCGATGTCAAGTGAAATTCTCTTGAAATCGAACAAACAGCAACTTCAGTATGCTATTTGTAGCTGGACAAGTGGGCGATGCTACTACTCATCGCCATTATGCAACGAACAGCGCCGTGCTTTGCTGTGCCGGACAAGTGAGCGACAAGCTTTAACCTGGGGAATGAAGAGAAGGTGGAAAATGATTTGAACACTAGTGCCTAAAAGTTACTTCAGCGACAATCTGAATATCTGATATCTGAATATTTGTCAAAAAGAACAATTACTTTGTCAGCGCCATTGTTTCCTTAAGCTTGTCGCCTACGTGTTCGGCACAGCACAGCACGGCGCTTGATGGCGACAGGTAGTAGCATCGCCCACTTTTCCAACTACAATCAGCATACTGCAGGTGCTGTTTGTTCGATTTCAAGAAAATTTCAGTTGACATCGAGCGGTGACAGAAACATGTTTATCACTAGCAGTTCTGACGAAGAAATCGTCATTATAGTGGCCACATTATTGAATGTAGGAGAAAAAAGTCACAATAAAGAAGGATGTGGGTCCATCCCAATAATCAAAAGGAAGCAAATCTGGGAGAGTTTCATCATCTTTTCAATGACCTAAAAGAAGACGGGAAGAAATTTTTCCAGTAATTCTGAATGACTCCAGGCAAATTTTCAGAACTTCTGGATATTCTAGAGTCTGCCTTCACAAGCAACTTAATTCTTCCCCGTCCATTTTCATAGGTACCGTCTGACACCGTGCTGCCAACTGATGTAATAGCAAAACCGAGAGACATAAACTTCCCAGGCATGTTTGGACAGGTTGATGCTGACCGGCGGCGCGCTCACTTGGCCAGTCCGTCACAGCACGTACCGCTATTTGCCGGACAGAATCGGAGAGCTGGAATCCTTTTCGGCGGCGAATTCTCTTGGTTGTGCCGTGCCGGGCTAGTGGGCGGTTGTCCATTCATTTTCATTGTTCCAATCCCATACGTATTTTGAGGAGTCGGGCCGTGCTGTGCTGTGCCGGACAAATGGATCACAAGCTTTAATATGAATATTACTGGAGTTTTTTCCCCAACACCAAATCATTATTTTTAACACCTCGACACGTGTAAAAACTGTTTTAATCTTCCTCTTTGAAACACGAGTCGAGGTGTTAAAAATAACGATTTGGTGTTGGGAAAAAACTCCAGTAATATTCATTACTACACCAAAGGTTCCAAACAGTGCATCATAAGCTTCAACATATTGCGGCATTAAATGCTTTTTATTTATTTCATATGAAACCGTTCGTAAGTCGAGAAAATATTAAGAATGAATGAAACGCGATTTTAAAAATAATGTTAATTGACAAAAAAAGTCAGGTATTTCCTTATGAATTGACTATGCATAAAAAGTCTAGAAATCAAATTTACCCGAAATTATTGGCGTATATAATAATTTTCCAAAAATATTTAGTCTGAAGTCCTGTACGGAAGCCACTCAGTGAAACTTAAAAAATTCAAAAAAATGGCTGGTGATACTTAAAGGGCGTGTGATAAATTTCTTAATAAGTTTATGACGTTATCATAGTTATGATTAAAAAATATTTTTCCAAAATTTCAAAACCCTGTAGCTCGAAAGTTGAGAGGTTTAGGAGATAGAGTATTAGAACTTATCTTTGACCCAACAGTCCCATTAAAAAATTGGGGGATGACACCCCGTTACGCTATACATCATCACCTTCTACCTACAAAGTTTCAGTGATTTTGGGATGATTGAGAAAAAATAGATACTCACCGGCTCTTTCTTCAGAAGATTTCTGGGAGGACTTCTGTACCAAGGTCTTTTGTCCTTGTCTTTTTGTTTCTCTGGTGGTTTGCTCTTCAATACCGATACTGTTTTCGATTTTGTTACATCGTTGCGTTTAGGTGCTGGGGTTGCACCTTGAACCCGTTTCAACGATCCAAAAAACGAGGAAGTTTGTGTAAAAGTCCTGAAATAAGATAAGAGAAATTATTAACCAAATTTGTTGTTTGGTTGTTCAGATATGAATAATAGATAACATTTCACAAGCAAACTCGTTGAATTCACAAATTTTCCAGGTAAATATGCCAATATTTATGCCAATAATATTCCTGAAATTTTGTGAGGATTCTTCGGGGAGAATGTGAAACAAGCCCTTTCTGAATATAAATGCTATGGTGAGCATGAAGTTTTTTTCGCTGGGTTGAGTATGGTTTCGACAGTCTTCGATCTTATTTCAAATCACACTTGTTGAATTTCTTCACGTAGACATCTGAGCTTTAATCTAATTCTGCAAGATCTATCATCTAAGTCAAATCCAATTTGGGAAGTTTCATTTGACTTCTATAGAATATAATAAATGTTGTTTGTTGTTTGTTTTAATCTCAAATATGTTAGTTAATTAGGTATTTTCAACGAAATAACAACACATACTGTTTCTGTTCCAAATGTTGTTTTAATGAAATGTAATCGTAGAATCAGATTTGTCTTTCAACATTTCATTCCGCACTCTTCAATTTCAATCATAGGTATTATCCTCCGATAAAATTTATAATGAATATTCCTACTTATCGAAAAGGAATACTGGTACAACTAAGACAGCAGGAGTCGATTAAGCCAAACATTATACAAAAATTCCCATTGGCTTAAATCAGAATTGAAGTGAAATTAGTGTTGCAGGTTACATTCTCATACAATATAAATGATTACCACGACACATTGAAGCAGGCTCTTTCACGTTTTTTATTTTCACAGTGGTTGGTTGATGTAAACATTTTTTAAATTTGATGACGGTATCCATTTTTGAAGTAAAACTTCTTTACTTGCGCTTGACTGGGGGACTAAGATGGTAAATGCGTGACGAGAGCATTACGAAAAGTGTGAAAGGGGGAGGCGAACGGAAGTTGAGAGGGTGGTATGAGTTAGTGAACATAGAAAGAGAGAGATTTACCTTTCGTATATTACTATAGGGGCAAGATATAGAAGTGCGGAGCACATATTTACGGTTGAGTAGGCTCTGAAGAATTAGGAGAAAACTATCATACGTTGCCGATAAAGCTTTTTTTTAAATTGACGACGGTAACTGTTGTGTATCAACTGGAAATGAATGTCTATATATCTAACATGTAGAGGTAATGCTGAAAAAAATCGTAGTATGAGTTAGGTCGTCAGTAGTGCCAGTCAAAATGGCTGCCTTTATGCAAGGTTAGAGCACTAAAAGTTACAAGGGAAAGGTTGCGGGAAAAAATTTAAATTTAAAAAATTGCCGAGGGTAGATAAGTGAATATATTTCAGTTTCACAAATTGAAACTGAGAGTGAAGCACTTCCTCCATAACAGAAAATTAAAGACTTTTTCCGCTATTTGGCTGACTCAGGATTGAAGTTCTGGATAGGTAAAAACACAAGAGTGCACCAAAGCAGTTTTTCGAACAGAATATTGCAGAAAAGGTGGATATATGTATCAAGTTCCCTGAAAACAACTAGCGGAAGAAAGTAAACAGGTATGGCTGCAAACTAAATCGCAGTCAAAAATATAACGAAGTCCAAAATGATAGCGATGAATAACAGATAAGGTGTACCCAGTATTAAAGTACAAACTACATGTGATGGTTCTGAGAAATTCACAAGAAGGTATCCAATATTCGGATTCTGTGCATGACAATTGAGAATACATTGCTTTTGACAGATGAAGGATATATTTATATAGCCTCACCCTATGGTTGATGGTTCCTTATAAAAAGACGGTGATGGTTACTCATTTCTACTTTTTTCGGTACAGAAGTTAGTGGGTCTAGTGGAGGGTCTTTTTCAAGAAGTACCTCTTGTTTCTTCTACTTATTTTCACTACCCATGCCAGTATTTGTTTAAAAAATGATAAGTTCATTAAATAAAATATACCCTCCCAACACCAAACAGTTCCACGCCAATTCAACTCTTAATACCATATTGAAACTTAAAAATGATGCAATTCCTCTTTATGACCGCCTATGTATGGATTTGCATTTCATGCTGTTTTCTGTGGACCTAGACTTCGAGTGGGAGGTTATCGGAAGACGGGCGGTTATTTTTCTGAGAAGTAATGTCATTCTGCCTCTCCTGCTATGGCGTTTTCGATTATAATTGAGACCGGCTCGGTATATACGGATATGGGTATTTGCGGTTTGCTGATTTGTTTATGGTACTGATTATGGAATGATATTATATCGTGATATGGTAACATACGGAGTACAAGGAAGTTTTTGGAAGCAAATCCATTTGTCAATTTTCCTCATGATTTCTCATATTATCCTAGCATTCTTTTTCTACCATAACCTTTTTTAGTTCTGGCAAAACAATTATATAGATACTAATTCATAAATTATGTTACTTCTGCAACTTGCAGTTTCGAGAAAAATATATAATCGCAATTGAAAAAGTTATAAGGAGTTGGAAGTGGGCGCTTCGTCTTGTAATGTTATCCAGATTGATGCAGAAGAGACAATAAGGCAAGTGCCTTATTCCGAATCAACTATGTCCACCATTTAGGACGACAGTGTACCATGTAAGTGAAACTTTATCTCTTTCATTTACTATATTGTGTAAGGATCCTATGGATAATATCCGACTCAATTCCATAACGAATGTTTGGAATGCAAACGAAATAGTGCAAAATGGTGTTTTTGTATAGTTCAATAATCATGAAAGTCGTTTCGAAAATATGTTTTCTTTCGTTTAATTCAATGTTTATATGAAAGTACTTAGTTGATTCGAGAGGGTTTTTCATTCCACATCTTTGAGTAGGGTTTATTTTGAAATCAATTGCTTGTTCCTAAAAATACTATCTTCTGAAAATTTACCCCTTTCAATTGAAATGAATTTCAACTTGTAAACTAAACTAAAATCATCACTACTATGGTGAAGCGGAAGGAAATTTTCAGATCAGGTCACAACTGGAATGCTCAAAAATGCAGAGAACAGTAAATGTTGACAGGTTCACATCAATGAGCCATATGAATAAAACAGGAGAACCTGCTTTTGCTTTTTTTTCTCTCACTAGATATTCAGAGTGTAAACTTATGAAATTTTTACTTTATCTTTATTCATAAGACCCAATGTGTATATAAAATCATAGCTGTGGAATTGGCCGCAGTAGTAGTGCACCCGAGTCACGATCGGAAGGCCGTGGGTTCGATTCCCGCTTCGACCAGATATTTTTCTCGAGAGAATTTATCTGGTTGAAGCTGGGATGATTCTGATACCGTGATAGGAATCAAGATATTCAGAGTGTAAACTTATGAAATTTTTACTTTATCTTTATTCATAAGACCCAATGTGTATATAAAATCATAGCTGTGGAATTGGCCGCAGTGGTAGTGCACCCCAGTCACGATCGGAAGGCCGTGGGTTCGATTCCCGCTTCGACCAAATATTTTTCTCGAGAGAATTCATCTGGTTGAAGCTGGGATGATTCTGCTACCGTGATAGGAATCACACGTTAAAAGGTAAGACCTCGTTAGTCCTTAGCTCGCACAAGTTTCTCAACTTCTGAGAGATGTTGTTCGTATGGGGGCGACAGCTGATTAACGGAAAAACAGATTTTTTTTAAACTCGGAAAGTGGTTATTCATCCTAGTAACACCATCGAAACATTCATCTCTTCCAACTTTCCTACACAGTAGGATGTGATAGAAACACGAAAGTTTTATACATGCAATTAAGTCGCGTTCAAATCAGTCGAGTCCCAGGAACATCGATGTTTGGATCGGATCTTCTCTACACTAATGAGAGGTAATACCTCGAAACCGCTCTATAGGTGAATTACTTGATTGGTTTTAGCGTGGTCCTGCTGCTGAATGAACGAGAAACATCTGCAACACTTTCCTCTGTGTGGCAACTTACATAAATGTCTGTCGGACATTCAATATTCATCATAGTAATTACCGGAGAAGTAACGGGTCTTCCAACAGAGACTTCCGAACTTGCTACATCTGTCAAATTAGTTGTCATTTATTCAGTCTGTTGTACCAAATCACCATGGACGTATATATCATTCAACAACACCTGCAAATAATAAATTTGTTTCATCAAAATGGGTGTTCTGTTCGAGCAACGTACTACGGGCTTCGCCCATTCTGCGGTCGCCATGGTCGAAAATACCATCGCAGAACTAAATCATAATCGTAAAGTTCATGTCGTGCTTTAGACATATCGAAGGCCTTCGACCGCGTATGACACGAATGTCTTCTGCACAAGCTAGTTGCGTTCGACCTGCCTCGGGGCCTGAAAGACAGAACATTTCAGGTTAGAGTAGAGGGCTCTCTGTCTGACAACAGAGAAATCCTCGCTGGAGTGCCACAGGGGGCTGTGTTCTCTCCCACGCTGTAATCCCTTTACACCAGTGATATCCCAAGGTCCGAGCGTGTGAAGATATCTCTATACGCCGATGACACGGCTCTCCTCTCATCTTCCATGGGTCGGGAGCTCGGGATCGTCCACATGCAACGTGCATTGGACAACCTCGAGCGCTGGTACCTCGAATGGAAGATCCGAGTGAACCCGGAGAAGACTTAGGCGATAACCATGGAAATAACAATACCTTCTCCGGCCAGAAAAGTGAGGATCTCTGGAAGGGAGATTGACTGGTGAGCGCGGGTAAAGTACCTCGGTCTTCTAATAGACCGTAGGCTCTCCTGGAACTCGCAAAGATCAAGGGTGATCAAAAGTCTGTACCCTCTGATCAATAAAAGATCCAAACTAACTCTAAAGAACAAAATTACGCAGAGATTTGCAGCTGCCTTCCATTTAGCAGTCCACTCAGTCGAGAAATCGGCAAGTCTTTGATTGCGCGGAAACCCACGATAATCCGTTAGTTAGGGAAGCTATAGATAATGCTGTAGACGACCCCTCCCGATATACAAGGCCCAGACACTCTGTCGAATGAGGCCCTCATGTCCCCCGTTAACAGATGAACAATCTCTTCACCCATAACACCCCAGCCAGACAGAGGTTCCACCGTGAAAGGCGGTACTGATGTCTGAGGACATTTATGCCGCCATCCCATGATCAGTTACCCATTACCCATTTGTCTTTCTGACAAACGCCAGGCGTAAGGGAAAGGGAGCCAGGCTCCAACCTGTCCGAAATTAAGATGAAATTGGTGCGGTCGCCGTAATCATCCTACCGGGAGGACTTTTAGCAATGTTGTGGATAAATTTGAGTCCACTGGTTCAGTGAACGATAGACCAACACCAGTACGTCGACGAAACGCAAGTTCTGCAGAAAATATTGCCGTTGTCGATGAGAGTGAGCAGGATGATCCGAAGCAGTCGATTTCGTGTCACTCACAAGAACTCGGCCTCTCACAAACCACAACTTGGCGAACCCAGGAACTGAAGGTTCCTGGGTTAGTTGAATTTTGTAGCCATTGACAAAAACGTGTGTTCGCTGAATGAGCTCTGAAGCAGTTGACAACTGACTCTATTTTTCATCGAGAAACCAACTTCAACAAAAAAGTCACTGGTTGCTGTGAATTTTGGGCTGGCGGCGTCATCGGTCCATATTTCTTTGAGAACGATGTTGGCCAGGCCATCACTGTCAAGGGCGAGCACTACAGGTTGATGATTACCAACTTCTCTTGGCCTGAATTGGATGATCTGAACACCAACAACATGTGGTTTAAACAGGGCGGCGCTACGTGTCATGCCACATTGGATATTCTGCACGAGCAATTTGGGGACATGGTCGTCTCACGTGGAGGTGATGTGAACTGGCCAGCGACATCGTGTGATTTGACCCGGTTAGACATTTTCTTGTGGGGTTTTTTAAGTTGCAGGTGTATGCGAATATGCCACTAACTACAACGATTTTCAAAGCCAACGTAACCCATGCTCTCGGTGAAATTCAGCTTCATTTGTGTGGAATTGGCCGCGGTGGTAGTGCGCCCGAGTCACGATCGGAAGACCGTGTGTTCGATTCCTGCCTCGAGAGAATTTATCTGGTTGAAGCTGGGATGATTCTGCAATCGAGTTAGGAATCACACGTTAAAAGGTAATACCTCGTTAGTCCTTGGCTCGCACAAGTTTCTCAACTTCTGAGAGTTGTCGTTCGTATGAGGGCGACAGCTGATTAACGGAAAAACAGATTTTTCAAACAGATTTATGCGCCAGAGTCATAGATGTCCTCCACTCTGAAAAGTCGTTGCGGACATTTGAACGATGTTATATTCCACACATGGCACCAATAGGTCTTTCAGAAGAAATAAATTCGATATCTCACACACACACTTGGTTTTATTTGAATTTAAAGATAGCAAGCGCTTAATGAAAGACCTTCTTCTAGTTGTTTTCTGACAGGCATTCACTAGATCCTCCTGTGTAGGAACTTTGGGAGAGTTGAATGAACATACTTATTTTGATATCTATTATGTAGAAGAACACACTGATATTAAAATCAATGTTACAGTGGAAAATGTGGAGGTTGGTCCAAACAAAAGTAGGAACTACTCCAAACAAGATCTATATACAGATTTTATGTATCATCCATTTAATTTTTTTTTGAAAACTTTTCCAGCGGCTCACTTATCAATGATTTTCACATAAGTAAAAAAGCCTTCTTTCTTTTTGGGTGTTTCATTAGCGTGGATAGCTATAGCCGTATAATTGAAAGGCCAAAAAAAAAACAAAACACGTTGCAGAGAAAACTCTATCCTTGGAGTGCGTCTGTGGTCATTTACTCGAGGCTGGTGCGGAATCATGCCAATTCAAGTTTTTTATTATCGAATCTCAAAAGCCACTTCACGAACCGGATTGATTAAAAATGGCTTGGGAAGAAATAAACCAAAATGTTAGTAGGCCATCATCGACAGAGCGGTAATCAGTATATTTTGTGCTGACCGGCAGTGCTGAGTAAAGAATAGTAAAGAATAAATTCACATTTATTCGAAAATTTGTGAGACCCTTCAAATTTTGAAGCAGATTAGACACGTTCAAGTATTGATACATGTTAAATGATATTTTCGAAACTTACAAATCCGCATATCGATGCTTATAAAAGTTATAAACAATTGGTACTGAAATACTACTGATAATATAGACATTAAAAAAATTGTATAGGAAAAAATTCACTGAAGAAAGTAACTATCAGAACTTCTTCTTTATTATATTTAATGAATGATTATCTCGTAAAAGGTAAGAGAGAGAGAGAGCGTCGGTTGAATTGTGGCAGTTTTGACAAAATTCATAATCATTTTGAAATTATATTTTCAACTATATCTTTTTATTATCAAATATTTGGGATATCCGTTTATACTTTGCCACAATAAATTTTAATAGACTATCAGAATATATTTGAACAATTTTTATACGGAATGTCGTTCAACTTTGGCCATCATTGAATTGAAAATATAAAAAACAGACTTGAGAAATGATATGATAATCAGATATTTCTGTATCGTGGCTCTAAAAATTGCACATTCAAGTCAACGCCAGTGATTCTTTCTTATTTCTCAACGGGTTTTGGATGTGATTACTTACTCAAGAGGTCATAGCCATAGGATTGTTACTGCGGAAACCGAAATGGAATTGGGACGTTAGTGATGTGAGATATAATTTATTGTCCAAGAAAAACACGTTTCAATCGACAAAAAATCTGGTATGTGAAGTGAAGCACTTAAAAAATGAAATAAAAGAAAAATTTAAAAACATAAATAGGTACCTAGAAAACACAATTTGGACAAAAATGGGTTCACATGTCAAGTACTTACATAAAATATAAACAATTGCAGCAATATAAAATAAGGTTTGAAATATAGGTTTGACAAAGTTTTTTGAGAATGTTGTTTGTACAGACCTTTCAAATAATGCAAAAAACATAAATACAAACAATTTGAACATAAGTTCACCTGCCATGGAAATGAAATATGGTATATTATAGTTTAACGTGAGATTTAGGTGTCAATATAAATAATAAAAAATATTAATCACAGCAAAGTTTCATTGTAAAATCCCTCAAGGCTATAGTACGCTATTGTTGCAAGCGCTTCTTTAACAAGATATCTGAGTTTCAACAGCTTTTCTCCTTCCAAATTTCGTAAGGTTCGTAGTTCTGATGCTTTCAACCTTCATAAATTAATGAATACTTTGTCTGATTTGTTTTTGGAACAGGAAGATGTATTTTATTTTCTATTACTTGCCTGGTTATGTAATTTGTGTGTTCTGGAATTCCAACCATAATATGATTTTGAAAATCAGACAAACAGTTTCCAGAATGAAAATACAAGAAATAGTGAGAATGTTTTCTCTCGTAAATAATGGCATGCATGACTCACGCACCTTGCATGGTTATCCAACCGATTGCTTTTGCAAAACAAACATTGAATCAAAAAATTATTGACTTCAATATTCCCAGAACGCAACACCATGTCCCAAGTGAGACTCAATCAGGGATATACCATTTTTGTTGTGGATAAACTTAGTTCATTCGATACTATCCGAAGTGCATATCAATTTTTTCGTTGAAGCTGAGATATTTTGATTAAATTTCAGTTTATTATCCATGAAGATTCCCAGGAATTTATATTGATTTTTATTCTCAAGAATATGCCCATTCAAGTATACATTGTCAATATTCAAGCTGAAGGTGAGTAAGTTTGTTTTTTTTATATTAAAGCACACATAGTTTGCGTCACACCATTTTTTCACAACACAATTTGTATATATTGAGTGCTTTATTTATTCAAATAACGAATACAATGAAACATAAAGAGACTTAACTATTGTTTCTATTAGAGCTATCATCAACCTATCAGAAATGTAGGATAGATTTAAATTTCCCAATGGTGAATTGAAAGTGCCGATCAAAATTACCGGTTCGTATATGAATTTCAGAGTTGACGTTGGTTGAAATTGGACTACATTCTGTATAAAACATCTATAAACATATTCTGATAATATAGATTTAAATTTTAATTCCAAACTCCTGAAATTATTTTAATTTGTAGAAATCTTTCGAAAGCAAAAACTCAATTAAACTACCTACGATACGTGTTAGAACTTCCATTGTCTAAATTGGTGTTAAAAGATTTGAAATCTATGGCGAAAAAATAAAATGAAAAAAACTAACCAATTTAAATATTTCCGTTCTATTATTTTTAGTTTTATTTTAAATTTCATTTACCTGTTTCATTATTGTGTGTCACATTCAAACAAATAAGACCATATCTACTATAAAATAAATAATAATCAATTATGGATTTTTAAATTATATAAAATGAAGAATTCAGAAGAACTTGTTTTATTGTAGGTAGTTGATAATAATCACAGTTTTAAGATACTAGCTAGTCTAATATGTTGTTAAGCTGTTAACATTTTTAAGTTTATTCCTAATGGATATAGTTTAAACAACTAAAAAACACGCTTTTAAAGAACATCGAACTAAAGAGTTAAAAATATTTTTTTAAATAAGCTTTAAACAATAACGAACGAAAAATACTAGTATTATTGTGAAAAAAGCGACGGGCGCTTGANTATAGAAATATATTTTGCAGTTCTGTTTTTGAAAGTTTTCTCATTTTCAAATTTCTTTGATAGATATCAAAGATAATTTGAATATATCTTAAATTAGCTCTTTCTTTCGGTAAGCAAAATTGTTGAATATGACAAGTTACTAAAATAAATAAAACATACTTCCTTGAGAGGGTGAAATAGAAGTTTGCACCTGTATAACATTTTCCCCTACATTTTTTAATTTTTTCAGATTGTAAACGTTGAAAAGTTCCAGAAAAAATTATTAAAAACAAATAAAATACGCTCCTTTTCCTTTATACTCACCGATTTTTATCAGTTGTTTGTGAAGTTTTCTCGGGATCTTTTTTCACTGGGGTTGACTTCGCGGTACGACTTCGAGTTGTTTCTTTCTGTAAAAGAAAATATAAATTATACTACACATAAGAGAAAATGAGAATCCTATTGGATCTCCTTCATTCATCTGTATTAAAATTTATATGGAATTGTTTAAATGAATTATTAGAAAAAAATAGCCACCTTGAAACTATCTATTTTGCGAAAGACATCTCTTCAAATGTACGGGATGATCTGAGATCATTCGTATCTTGAACGATTTAAAAAAACTTAACGGAGAATGATTGTGAAAATTTGGGGTTTTCATGAAAAACATGCTCTATTCATTCAAAATATTGTGAGTCTGGTTACATATGTAAGCTACTACAGTTGATATCGACAGTCTCATTTCAGATGACATACTGTTAATTTGAATATTCAAATTGCTGTCTATCAACGAAAAGATATCTAGATCAAGAATATTTTCCATCAACCCTTCAATATTTTAATCTGAATATTCTGAAGGAGATGAATCTGGCAATCTTTCTGGCCATTCAATAATTCTCCAGTACTAATCCACTGCTGAAATATGATTGATACAGATGTATTCCCGAACTGGACCTGCTTACTATGGAAAATACCATTTTGCTGAGATCAAATTCTATAATCAGGTGATTCATGACCTTTTGCATTGAGGAACAATTCAGCAAATGAAGGAGTTCGTTTGGATAGTGTTTCATTGAAAAATTATGATCTAATATTTAAAGAAACCACCCACGCAATGAGCTTTTATGGATACTGTGTTCAACTCTTGTCATGTCATCCGAACAAAATGTTGCCTTAGCAAAAAATATATTTTCAGCTAAGCAAAGATTTGCTTAGCTGAAATTGAATTCTATACTCTTTTTTTTTCATTTTTTTGGTCGTGTTATAATATTTCAGACGTTTTCATTTCATTTTTTACTTCCAAAGATTTCAAATCTGTTAACACCTTTTGAGACAATGACAAACTCAACCTTTAACATTCACAATGATACATTCACACAAATGTATTCCAGTAGCGTTGATTTAATTTATATTATATTATATTTATTATACAATTTTTGTAAATCCAAAAACATATATTGGCTTCATAATAACACACATGTGTATAATTTATTTGAATTCTACTCATACACTTCCGGTGTTTCATATAGATACGCCAATATTATTTTTATACTCTACCCAGAAATTAATTTTTCATTAGTTCAATTTTCCCTTGGGAATTGGGTATTATCTATATGTCGAAGAGTCGACGGGAGTTTTTGACGACTTCACTGTATTTACGATTGTAATGTATAAATCAACTTTTTCACCTACAAATTAAAAATAAAATTTTAAAATGCGCCAATCATAAAAATATTAGTGAATCCACTAATACGCGAAAAATAAACTTTTCGTTTTCAAGCTAGCGTTTTATATTTCCAGCAAATTACACACCAACAACTGATCCAGTATTAAAATAAACATAGTTATCAATGTTTATTGTCTTTAGCGTTATCAACAGCAAACACAAATATTGTTTTGTAATTTGTTATCACAACTGAAAGAGCCGAAGCAGTGTTCTACTTTTTGGAATTGAACCAGTTTCTCAATTGATATTATTATATGCCTTCTAGGAATATAATCATTCATTTATTTGAAAATGAAAAATTTATAAAAGAGATTCGTTTTTGGAAAAAACTTTAGAATTTTCCACTTCTCCACACAGTATGAATACAGTATGTATGTGAAAAATTGATCTAAGAAACAAAAAAGGTAACAAAGATTAGATACTGTAGTTTGATTATAATATATTTCCGAAAACAATGAATGAAAACTACCGGCTTGAAATGGAGTAGCGGAAACCACCTCAAACTTTTTTGTTGGAAATTATTATTCACCGAATGAAATACATGAATTATTAATGTTTGGGAAAGAAAGATTTTGGCTTTCTATTTCTTCATCTGTATACATCGGATGTCTACCAATGAGGATGACAGTGTTCTATGTAAGTAAAATGTTAACTTTTTCATTTATTATATTGTATAGGAATTCTGTGAATAATATTTGATTCGATTCCATAACGAATGTTTGGAATATAAACTGAATATATGAAAGTTTTTTTTTGGTTACCTATTCAGTGTTCATATAAAATTATTTGTTTCGAAAGTATGTTTCTTTCGTGTAATTCAATGTTTATATGAAAGTATCTATTTGTTTATAGAAGGCTTTTCTTCCAGTTTGTGTCTGAAAGTTACTTCTTTGCATCATCTACACATCTTTGTATAGAATTGTCTTTTTTGAAATTGATTCCTTCCTTCCTTTCTCTCGAAGATTCCCACATTTTTTGTGTATGGAGAAGTAGAAAGCCAAAACATTTCTGTCCCAAAAATTGTTCTCTCCTAAAAATATACCCCTTTCAATTTAAACATGAATTAATGTGTTCTTTTAGTGATAAAATTTACAAAACGAGGTTACGAAAATGTTTCCACGAGTTTTTCAATTCAAAGTTGATAAAAATAATAATCATTGCTTTATTATTGTTACTCAGATAGTAGTCGGCTGGTTAGCGCTATTTATTCGTTCTACTCATTCAATCACAGCAATGTGAACTGTTTTATTTTAGCTGGGGTGTTCTTATGATGTAACCGGAAATACCTTGTTATACATTAAAAGAAAAACCGAACTTTCTCTGAAATTACTATTTGTTGAAAATTAAAAACAAATACAGATTCACACATACAATCTGTTAAAATTCCAAGTCAATGTTCCAAGTTGGAAATGTGATTTAGGGCAACAGATGAGGAATCTATTGCCGTTAGGAAACGTAACCTCAAATCGATGAGCAGCCACAGTCCGTCGCGTATTTCTGATACGTAACGCTCTTGGTGAAATCAAACCCCCAACAAACTTATCGAAGCAGCAGGTGGAAGGAATTGTCTGACCTGACATTATTATATCCGGTTCGGAGACATTTATCTTTTTGGAGAAAACTGTTGCCTGGGTTTTTTTGGTATTGGATTGATCCTGGATTGATCCCAATTCGAAATCACTTCTAGATCCTCAATAAGATATGCAAACTCCTGCTGCCGGTGAAGATGTGTATCCGCCGCAGATGTTTTGGAATCCAAATGGAATGACAAAACAAGTGTGCTGTCGTCAGCAAAGCAATATATTGGGTTCTTGGTTTTTTCCAATAATTCCTTGAGGGTTGGAGACAAAATAGATCCCCAGGGATCTATTTTGGGTCTCCAACCCTCCAAAAAGATACCCGTCGATGGCCTCTTGCAGGGAACGTTCTTTCAGGAAGCTGGATAGCCATACACAGAAATGATCCACAAGCCATATCATCGAAGTTTGGTCAACAAACCCTCGTGCCACACACGGTCAAAGGCCTTAGAAATATCAAGCGCAACAGCTCTTGAGTCTTCATGTTTCTCGATTGCGTTATTATAAATATAATAATAATAATAATGAATTGTCTTCATTTTACGTGGCGGAGTTTAGCAAAGCGCCATTCTTCCACTCAACCACCATATGGGTGATAAACGATAGAAGGTCGCCTGTTGATTTTTGTTTCCGAAAGCCATATTGATGATCGCTCAAAATATTGAAGCCCTCCAAATATTTAAGGATATGGTAGTTTACGGCTAATAGTATCTGTCTTTTTTTGGGATAACATGCAAGATGCAGAGATTAAAAAAAATTGTATCTGTTCTGTAGATTAACCGATATAATAGAGCAAGTTCTCGGGAGGTTTGACATAAAAACGGTTTCCAATGGACAAGGAAATCAGAGATCGAGAACGCTAATAGATTAAACGGGATGAGATCCCTTGTCTGATCAGAGTTTATATCACATACGCTGTTCTTGTGAAAGTTTATGCGTTGAAACTACCAAAAATTAGGTTAAAACAAGAATACCAGAATACAAGGCAAACTGTCAGCCACGACATAAGTCATATACTGCCTGAATAACGAGATTCATCGTGTCAAATTTAAGGACACCCAATTTTTGACAATTACATCTACGTACCATATACGAGGAAGTCGACGAAATTCATAAAGATACAAATAATTTTGGAATAGAGAACCCATACGGTCAATAGAGTTTTTGGCTACATTCTCTATACATTGGAATTGAATCATCAAAAAGGCCATAAGGAAGTAACTGAAAGAGTAATTACAGAACTCATTATTAAAACCTTCACAACTCTAAGAATATAAGCTCAAAAATAAAAAAACAGTATTTGTGCAATTGAAAATAAAACCAGTCCTGTCGGTAACAAACAACGGTTGAAACACCTGGAAAATGACAAATTAATGGAATCTAACTTCGATAGAAAAAATAAGCTCTTTGAAAATAGGTTGACATTTTAGAAAGCTGTTCCTTTTCTTCATTTTCAAAGCTTGGCTTCCTTATTGAAATTTCAAAAAAAAAATTAGAAACATTGAGTTTCTTCTGACAGACGTCATACGAATGGAAATACACCGATGTTACATTTGAATGCCCTTACATATAAACTTCTTTCGTAAATTTAATTCATCTTTCCTGACATAAGAATATATTATGCTGATTCTTTTCGTTTTCCGCCTTCCCGAGTGTTTTTTTGTCATAATTTTTATTTATTCAAGGATAATATGCATCACCATTCTTCTGACAAAAGCAAGCCAAAAATTTCTTTTTTTTGTTATACAGACAAAATTTACTACCAGGTACACTAGATGGACAGACTCTTCCTTTAGAAATGACAGTTATTTTACAATTTGCTTTGATCTGAATATCTCGTTTAATATTTGACAAAACCCCGTAAATAAAGCCATTAAATAATTGCAGTAAAGTATGAGGATTTTATTTTGTAATTGCCTGTTATTTCCAATTCGAAAATGAAGTTGATAACGTAGTAAAAGTAAAATAATTGAAACACATATACGTGCTTCTTATGACAAATTTTGTGTGGTTATATGAAATGGCTACGGAATATTGATATTGAGGAGATACTAACCAGTATTCTAGTCAGAATTCGGTTCAAAGACTTTACAAGAATTAAGTATGATTAATAACATGGACGATCAGTTTGTTAATCAAATACTTATTATTATTAGTAAACAAAATAATATGCAAGATCGATTGTATGGTTTCATTGGAATGTCTGGTATCCAAATCGTGTTAAAGAACTTAAAGACAATCCTCACCTTCTTAGCGAACATCTCATCCAGCAACCCCATTTTACACACACTACAGATTAAAATACTACAAAACACAAATTATAGAACTCAGTTCACTATTTTACACTGGGTAACGTTATAACACCTCTACACCGAATAAGTACTATCGTCATCTAGGTAATTTAATCTTATCTCGGTCACCTTATCTGGAGAATGTAAATTACCCTAAAAAAACTTCTGTGTATATCTGCCATAAACAATAAACAATATGGCAGAGTGAATCAAACAAAAAAGTTATGGAGGTGTTAACGTGTTAATGAATTTAAATACAGAAATGTAGAATGAAATATGTTAAAAAGAAAATATATTTCATTTTGATGTCTTCATTCGAAATATTTTAGCAAACTAAAGAGACTACAGGGAAAAACAAAAAATTAGTGTTCATTAACGAAAAATTATTTAAAGCTATCAGTAGTAGTTCTCTTTTATTTAGTATGGTTCAGAATATGAGAATTTAATGTACAAACTTAATATACTAGGATAAGTTTTAGGAAAGTAGGCCCTACATTCATTTTCCTATAAATCAGAAATACAGGGTGTGATATAAGTACGTAGTATTCCTGATGAGACAATACAAATAACTAACATTGGAAAAAGCTTATGACAAAAACGAACCATGTTTTGAAAAATTTCAACAATTTGTATCTCGATAACGAATGATATTTCGATTAATATTTTATAAGAAAACGTTGTTTATTTTGACGAGATCCACCACATACTTAGTTTTTGTAATTTTCTCAGCAACTTAGCGCCCTAGGAGCTAAGTAATATGCATAGATATAGAAAATTGTAAATATCTCGAAAACGACCACGTCCAGTGTTACTGAGGAAGTGTACCTTTTTTATTTGGAAAAGATGTGGGAATTAGGTTTTTCATGAAAAAAACCAAACGTTTACAGTCAAAAAAGTTAGGGCAATTTGAAATAAATAATGAGAGTGTACGCAGTGCCCTCTAGATGTTACATGAAAATTAATATGAAATTATGACTTCCTACGCCAAAAAAACCCTGGGTACCAAATTTCGTGCAGATAACTTATTTTTTGCTAAAATTATTTTAAAAAACGAACAAAAAAATTCAACTACAACACCCTGTACTGTATCTCCGAAAGGAAGCCTCCCTGGACACAAGTTTATAATGACTTTTTTTCTTGAAATTTTCTCATGAATACGTCACTTGAATATTTTACGTACTTATGTTACACCCTGTATATTTCAAAAACAACAGCGAACTTCATCTGAATACTGTGTTAGGCGGTGAGAACTTGTTATAGGAGATATAAACACGTTCTATTAACTTTGTTCTTGGTTTTCTATGCAGCTATTTCTATCAGTAATGAACCATGAAAAGTTTACAAAACCGTGACAATAGCTATACAATAGCTTCCTTAGGCAATATTTGATAAACTACTTTTAGATTGAAACAACAACAATATCGTCAAACATTACTATGATCTACGGTTCCATCAGATAAAATTAATTCTAGTCTAGACTCAACTACCTCGTATTTATTCAAGTAGAATACCAAAAGTAGTTATTCAAATTCGGTTTGAGGATGCGGTTTGGTAAACCTCTTATAGTGAAAATCAAAATAATTCTCATTATTGGTCGTTTCAAAAGTTTTGTCCGTTTCTATCTGTCTACTTTAAACTGTAATATTTCAACCACTGTAGTCGTAGAAGATCCACTTTTTATCATATGTGACGTTACGATCCAAAAAAGGATCGTTTCGGTTATGCAAAAGCAAAGAAGAACAGACCTCGATGGTTCAGATCGTGGGGCACCCGCCTTTCGAGCTTTCTAACCTTTCCAATACGTGTCAAACCATCAAAAACAGCATGGAAGCTGACGTCCAGTTCTTCCGCCATCCCAAGAACCGTTTGTGATATTTCAGTCTTGACCAGGGTCCTCAAATCCCCGTCCTGGATCTGTAGGTCGACTGTCGACTGTAGGTCGACTACTTTGGGGCTCATCTTCGAGTCTAAAATCTCCGGAACGAAATTTCGCAAGCCAACATCGTACAGTGCGGTAATTAATAGTATTATTGCCGAATGCCTGGTTAATTTTTCGGGCTGCTTCGGCAGCGATTTGGTTCAATTCGAATTCGTAGAGGAAAATTAGCCAAAAATCCCTCAACGACAACATACAGTCTCAATGGACCATTAGTTTCCTCACACCCCCATACGACTGAGAGGAATGATATTTGAACTGACTTACCCAATAACCAATGAAGGTTATCCGGATATACATCCAGTGGGGTCCAATAATTAATGGACCCAACAACATACAGTGTGTAAAAGCCAAATGGAATGAATTCATTATTTCGGTTACTGTACATATTTTGAAAAAAAAAATCACGAAAATTATAATTTGACAACCTTCAACGTAAAAATGTCACCCCTAACTTCAACCCCTTTCGAATGTACAATCCTCGATTTTTTGAATGGGAAGTATAGGTTTGTGATATATCGTTTGAAAGGTATCTTTATTCTCTATTCAAAAATGTTATCGCTTTCTAGTTTATTGCAACAATTAAGATAAAATAAATTATAATCATGTGTTTACCGATATTCAATAAAATACACTCAAAAACTAAAATGTAATGCAGAACGTAATGAAATGTAGAACACGAAAAAGAAGTATGGATGTTAACGAAGTATATATGTTTTGGCAACATCCTAATATCAAATCAAACTGTCTTCTAACATTATTTAACATATCGGGCGTGACCGACCTAATCGCAAGCGTTATTCGTTCTTTTAAGTCATTCAAATCTGAAGGTCCCTATAAATAGAAATCTAATGATGGAAGATCAGGTGATCGCGCTGGCCATTGAATCGATCCCCGCCTCCCTATCCCCCAATTGGAAAATGCTGTATCGAGGTATTGCCTGGCAATAACTTGGTAATGTGGTGGGTGCTCCATCCTGCTCAAACCATATCGTATTCACTGGAACTTGAGGGTTTCCTGGATCAGGATATAACCTTTCTAAACTTGGAATGACATCATTTTGAAGCAGTTCCAAATAATTATCGCCATTCAAGTTGCCCTCAATGAAAAAGGTACCAATGATATGGTTTCCTACAATTCCTGCCCAAACATTAACCTTTCAAATGTATTGCGTGTGTTCTTCTCTCATCCAGTGAGGTTTTTCCGTTGACCAGTAGCGGTAATTTTGCCGATTAGCATGACCGTTAAGAGAGAAAGTACACTCATCGGAAAACATATCGTCTTCTAATTGAATGATATTGTTAACCAACATGTCCATCATTTGCTCACAAAAATAAGTTCTTTTATCAAAATCGTCTTCCATGAGCTCCTGAGTAGGTATCATTTTAAAAGGATGCATTTTATTTTCTTTTAATATCATTACTATAGATGTATGGCTAACATTGAATGTAGTGGATGCCTGTGTACCTGATGTATGTGAGTTTTCCTCAAACTCAAGCATCACATCTAATTTGAGTTCATCACTTATTGCATTGGCAGCTGCTTTTTTTATCTGCCCCACATGCCCAAGCTTGCGAAACTGCTTCTCTATTTTGCTTATTGTACTTTGAAATATGGGCGATAAGTTAGGAAATTTCTCATGAAATGGGCAAGCTACTTCCTGGTGTGTTCGGGTTTTATCTCTGTAATCAATCATTTGTAAAACTGTCATCTAACCTAACTGAATCTAACCATTTGTCAGACTTGAAGTTAACGAACTTTAAACTTAAATTAAAATACTGACAACTAATGTTGTAACATACAGAACAAGTTGACAAGGCGTTTTGTACTAACGTTGCCACGGAAATTATTTATACAGATTTTCAAAGGATTCCATCTAAAAATAACATTGGAATGAATTTTGCATACTTTCTTATTATCAATACCTCAACAGGAAATAAGTTTTGAGTATATTGCAATAAGTTTCGAGCGTATTTTATCGAATTTCGGAAACCACATGATTTTAATTTATTCTATCTTAATTGTTGCAGTAAATTCGAAAGCGATAACATTTTTGAATAGATAATGAAAAGATCTTTCAAACGATATATCACAAGCCTATACTTCCCATTTAAAAAATTGAGGGTTGTACCTGTCATTCGACGGGGGTTGAAGGTAGGGATAACATTTTTCCCTTGAAGTATGTCGAATTATAATTTAAATTTGATGGGATTTTGTTAAAATATGTGCAACCGAAATAATGAATTTATTCCATTTGACTTTTACACACTGTATAGTAATGACCTATGAAAAGGAAAGAATATGAAGAACATCAATATATAGAGTAAATAACCACATGATTTTAATTTATTTTATCATAATTGTTACAATGAATTCGAAAGCGATAACATTTTTTAATAGAGAATGAAGAGATCTTTCAAATGATATATCACAAGTCTATACTTCCCATTTAAAAAATTGGAGGTTGTACTTGTCACTCGACCGGGGTTGAAGGTAGGGGTAGCATTTGTCCGTTGAAGTATGTCAAATTATAATTCAAATTTGACGGGATTTTGTTAAAATATGTGTAACCGAAATAATGAATTTATTCCATTTGGCTTTTACACACTGTATAGTAATGACCTATGAAAAGGAAAAAAATTAAAATTTGGAATAAATATGAAGAGCATCAATATATAGAGTACAAAATTCTCTATCGATCAATGTATACCACAGTATATACCAAACTAATAGTTATTTTAATACAGATTTTCAGCAAGTATCTGCCAGTTCCATTCAATTCCTGTCAGCTATTTTTGTAATGAACTATGTAAAATTCAAAATGTAACGTAACAAAATGTAATAACAAAATGTGACGTTGAATGAATCCAAAACTAGAACTGCAGCACTCTTCTCCTCAAGCACTTTACCAACCAAGATGGTGCGTACAGTTCTTATTTAGGATATATACGACTTGACAATATCGAAATTTTTACTCATAACATCACGGGCCATTCACTTTGGAATTCAATCAGTTCAAATCTAACCATCTAACATGTACGTCGATAACAAAAAAGTTCCTACATAAATTTGCATTTCAATTCTAATGAGTTGAAAAAAATTATACAACGAGCCTATTATCCCTTTAGAATAACAAGGTGACTATGTCCCTTCTTTTAGAGAAACGGTACGAAACTTCAGAGAGGGTGATTTATTAGGTCGTTTTACGAAAAAAATCAAGTTCCTATGAACAAATGTCCGGAGTTGCTTCGTTTCTA